CCTAGTCAGAACCATACCCACAGTTACACTTGTGATGTTCGCACATGATTTCCCAGAAATTATGGTGTTTAGGGGTAGTGAGAAAACGTTTACATTGATATTCTTAAAGTTTCATTTTCAGGGAAATAATGTAAATTTTGAATTTCAAAATTTCAACCAAAAATGATATAACAAGCCAAAAACAAATTAGCTTCCACTTAAAAATAACATTAACTGATGTAAATAACACATTACACATGCAGAAGCACCTTATTTACTAATTTCAGATAGAAAATAGTACTGGGCTTAAACAAAAGCCAACTTTGAATTACACTGTCCAAATGCATGCAGGAAATTTTGCCTGATCTGGCTGTATCAATTCTAACAGACTTAATCATCTTGTACACTAAAAAACAAGGAGAAAGCAGGTTTTCTTTAGTCTTTCAGAGTGGCAGCGTACCTTGGAGAGGGCTGAATATGAAGCTTGGGCACCACTACATACACAGTACTTTGGAAATCTATTGAAAACCAGTGATATGCAATCAGTGAGATCCTCCTCACAAGGGAGTGCAATACCATCAGTGTAGCTATGCCACTTTTCCTCTGCCTAAAACAATTGGTGATATCCCCATTAGTGCTGGAACAAGAACTTACTCCCTCTAAACGGATACTGTTTCTGATCACCAGGCCCTGTCCTCGGGGAATGCTTCTGTGTTGGTCATGCACAGGTTTTCATTCTCCTTCTTGTCCTTGTATGCGTATGTAGGGAGAAATTTCATGTTGTTTTGTGTCAGTACAATCTAAATTATCATCTGCTCTTTTGTATAGCTTAGTGAAGACTTTCAAAAAGATGCAAAAGACATTACATAAAAAAACTGAGATCCCAAATAATATTTGGAGCTGCTGTAAAAGATCATTTAGGGTATATAACTCAGTAGGATAGTAACAGCCATGGAAACCATAAAATTCTGTACTAATTTTTTTTTTTAAATGAAGAGTAGGTACCCAAGAAAAACTTATTATGATTTACATTGCATGCTTTTTTTTCCTTCTTTGAAATGTCAGAGAAAAGACATTGAAAAAATGAAGTATAGGGATGGATGCAAATGCAGGATGGAAAAGCAAAGCTATTAAATTAGTTTTTGAGATGAAACAAAATATTTCATCATGGGGAGAGATTAATGGTAGCTTCAAGTCACTTGAACTTGGATTACTTTATTCTTGCCTATACTTTAAATGAAGAAGAACTGTTAGGAAGCAACCTCAAACATTTCTGTATGAGCATCAGAACTTGTAAACTTGCACCGATGAATAAATGCAAATAGTTGGAATTTAAGCCTGGGGCCTGCTTCTGCTGAAGTCACTTGCAGAACCCCAAACTGCCTTTACTAATGTGAGTCTGGGTGTGCTCTGTACAGTAGGCATCGCCTAACACATCTGTGTAGTTGAAACACAGCTGCTTCAGCAACAGTAGGGTGTACAGAAGCTGGAACTGTAGAATAATGAAGGGACTTCTTGAGGTCATAGAATCATAGAATCACTTTGGTTGGAAAAGACCTTTGAGGTCATCTCGTCCAACCCAGGGATGGCCTAGGGCATTTGCTCAGGACCTTGTCCAGTCAAATTTTGAATACCTTCAAGGGCGAAGATTACTCAGATGGGTAAACTGTTCCCGCGACTGATCATTGTGATGTTTTTTCCTAATAGCTGTGTCTATCACCCATCATCCTATTACTGTACACCACCAAGAACAGTCTGACTCCATTGTCTTGTTGCCCCATTAGGCAACATCTCCAGCTAGATCACCATTAGCCTTCTCCTGAAAAGTGAACAAACCTGGCTCTCTACTTCACTTTGCATGCCACATGTCCATCTGGGTAACCTCCACTGGACTCACTTCAGCATGGCATCTCTGTATCTCTCCTTAAGTTTCTGTTATACACAAAGGTCAAGGGATGGTTTTGGTTTTTCCAGTTTATACGTGCGAGAGCCTTTCACTAAGTGTAAGGAGCAGAAGAGAAATTAACAGAGTACAGTACTTGAGGCATCTCTTTTACCTCATTTCTGCTGCTTAGTGCAAGAGTTTCACAGCAAAAGAAACCGTACATCTGCAGCACAGCTATTTTTTATAATTTCAAATGAAACTGTTTTAGAACTGAGTTGTAATAATGTGTCTGAATGACCTAGGAGAAGTGAGGTTGCTAGGAAGCCAAATGTTGTTTATCCAGAGTGTTCAGAGAGAGGAAGGAATTTAGATCCAGCTGTGTAAGTGTATGGAAACACTTATCGAAGCCACTCACATAGTCATAATTCTGTTGTACTCCTTCATTTGCAGAGGAAGATCATGCGTAGTGGTTAAACCACTTAATTGAACCTGAGTTCACAAGCACTAAAATGCCATAATCAGAAGTGTAGGGTTTTGAGTGATGTCAGAACACAAAAAAGTTAATTTTCTACTCTAAGTGAAACTTCTGTGTAATAGAAAAAATTACCCTAAATCTCCACATGTAGATTCTGTGCAATATTTCAGTGGCTTATAGCTGGAGGTAAATGCAGCCCTGTTGCGAATACTGAACTTTGCCTCCTATGATGCTTCCAAAGCCAAGAACCACATGGTTTAGGCCATCAGGCACCTCTTCGTACAGTTGTGGCAAAGACAGCTTAGTTGTCTCAACCTGCTAAAACTGCAGGTTCCTTTGTCTTCATTTCCCTCTTCTCTCCCTTACCACAAGCAAAGTGCTTCAGAAAGCAAGACTCCAAATTAATATGAAAAGTTCCTGTTTCATTAAAGTGGTATTCTTTATCGGAGAAAAGAGAAATAGTGCTTATAGGCCCACATTTTATAGATTGGGCTTACAGATAGCTGTTGTACTACACCTCTCATCACCAGCAAAGACTAAGAACCTTCGTTTTCATGTATATATTGTGGGCTGCCTGAAACCTTTGCAGTGATTGGAATTAATATTAAACTGATTAAACATTTTCTCCTTTCTCCCTATGTTGTTTGCAAAAGGTCAATGTGCATATTAACAAAATTCTTCTGGAAATCCAGAAAAGTAAAAAGCAAAGCCTGCATGCAGGGAGATATGTAATCAAATATAGAATAGAAATTAAACAAAGGGCCCTTCTTCTTTTATAAGTTGTCCTATTATTGCGTTTGTAAATCCATTCTTTTCTTCTCTCCCCTCTGGCATTCTCATGTCTCTTCAAATTGTTAATGTTAGAGGAGATAAGGAATTTATAATCTAAGGGTAATTAAAATAAAGTTTTAAAATTCTGAACCACTGAAATGGAAGGATAATTCAGTCTATTGTGGGACCAAATGTAAAATTAATATCTCTGACTTTTAAATCAGCTTGATGAAACAGCTAAGTAGATATTGGTAAATGTTTCAGGAGTTCTGGATACAAAAACCAAACTTAAGTACTGTGATGCATATGTCTGCAAAAACTCAGCCTGGAGGCTGGATCCAACAGTGAAAATCTCGACCCTGAGTTAAGTCAGGACTTAACCTGAGATTCACAAGCCCATGCCAAGTGCCAGGTGCCTAAATAGGCCAACAGATTGTGCCATGCAATAGGAGCTTGCTGAAATTCTGCCTTACCTGAGTTTAGGTACTGAGGATATGCGTTTGTGCAGGACTGGCTGGATCATCCTTGTATCCTTTAATGCAAACCAAAGTGATATTTTTCGGGGCATGTAACAGATTTGTGGTTACCACAAAAAGCAGTTTAAGGTCTATGCACTCCTTGGTACTTTGTGTTCTCGTCACATCTACTGTGTTACAGCAGAGTACCAGTACAGAGAGAGTAGAGGGCAGTGGTGGTGTTTTTTCTCCTTTTTGCTAAGTCTGAACAATTATGCAGTTGGGAACACAATATTGAAGGGACAGTAAGATGAAATGAACATGAGGGAACATGCCTTTGCATTAGTGTTAGGGTACATAGTGGGGAAAGGGCTGGTGCCAGTCCCCAGTTCTTGCTCCAAAGGGTATTTTACACATTTTAAATCAAGCAGTTATTGAACAGAAGCCCCCATATACTCATGAGAACAGAATCTGATAACCATATATTTCTTTTTTTTGAGGGAGTGCCCTAGCCTTACTTGTCTGGTGGTTAGGATACTCTTACGGAAAATATGAACTTCATTTCTCTTTGGTACCTGGAAAGTCCAGATGTCCTGCTCCCTAGAGGAAAGTTCTGGGCTAGAATATACAGCTGGCAGCACTCCTTTCTCTTCAAGCCGTGCATGTAATGGGAACAGCTGAAACTGCTATGCTTTGTATGAACTTCTGCACTGACGTTGTATTCGTTGCATTTCTGTGGGGCTGGGATGCTTAGCTTGTGAACCCCAAACAGGCCTCCACGTGAGACAGGGAGCACAGTTGTCAGCACAGATAGGAAACCACGAGTTCTGACCATAAACATTAGCAAAACTTAAGGTATGCAGATGCTTCTCAAGGTACGATGTTAGTAGTTGGCATTTCTCACTTCAGTGCTTCCATACCAGCTAATTTTCACCCAGTGTTTAATACTTCTTTTTAAAATTACAGACAATGCAGGTGCTTGCTTTCACCCTGAGGAATATGAAGAATAATGTGAGGAATATTATTCTCCAACTGTAAAAGCATGTTGTGGAAATAAATGCTGCAAACTGAGGGGGAATGCTACCTTGTTTCAGGTGGTATGTAAGCATAAGATTAGACAAGCGCATTAAACACGTCTGCTCACTCCTTGTTCCCTTGTCTCAGTAGGGGTAATGGGGATGATAGAAATATTAGCAAGTCAACGATGTTCCCAGAACTCTTTTCTTTTAAAGAGAGCATATTTAAGTCATCTGGGTCTGTTCCAGCTCTGACACACAACCAAATGCCATTCCTCTCCTCTTAATGCAAGAATGGTAGAGCTAAGAAGAAGGGAAAGACAACTAAGAGCATTTGGTTGATCAGAGAGTTTCTAAAACCAGACTGGAAATTGAGCTAGCTCCCCAGATGTCATCGTGTTGCATTCACTTTCTCTTACCTCCATTCTGACAATTCTGGTTGGTTTCAGCAAGACCTGGAAACTGGCGCCAACTATGTGG